AGTTGTCATGTAGTACGACCACGTTAACTGGTAAAAAAAAAAAAAAAAAAAAAAAAAAAAAAGCTGGGACAGAAGTCTAATTTTTAAAGGCTTAAAATCAGAGACTGAAGCAGATTTTACATCCCCAGATTTACTAAAACTTTCATTTGCTGATACAAATTATATAGATATAGAATTTAACTAATTTAAAAGAAAGACAAACAATTGTTTAAATATTACCCTGTTATTGCATATATATGAGATAACATGATATGCACATAAAATAATAATAGTTGTAAGCATCAGTCTTTTGTAAACAAAAAAAGTTTGGCCCTATCCTTAACTTTGAGATTACCAGATAAGTCAGCATTTTAAACACAGGATCTTGGCTAGGAATTAAACGCTTGAAAGAAAACTGACCAAAGCGGCTGAAAATGTACTCAGTTTTTAAGGTGTTTATCTAGGTTGGCTTTTGGTATTTCGCTACTGTACCAATTTAACAAAATATGCCCAACGACAAGATCTAATTCCCTTTAGCAGACTTAATGAACAGCACAAATGCCACCATAGCGAATTCAGTTTCCTTTTTTTTTTTAAATCGAGCTGCACACCATGTTCCCTTGAACGTTCGTCTCTTCCTCACCTTAACTCAAAATGGTTCTAGTGTTATACCTGTATTTTCTTTTTTAAATGTAGTGGTTGCTGGAGTGTTATTGAACTGTGTCCAGACTACAAATGTAGTCTCAGAAAAACTATAATTTTATCCTTAAACACTTGTATCCATCAACCAGCTGATTATTGGTGGGGTTTTTTCTTGAATATATATATTGGCTAAAACTTACACCTCTTGGTAGATCCTTTTGTCCATTCTGTTGACATGCCCTGAAATTATGATTTATCTAATAAATCGTTTTTTATTTTTTAAATTGAGACTATTGTAACATTTGTTCTTGTGTCATCTCTATCAGGTAAAGGGAGAAAAAAACAAAACAAAATAAGCCTAAAAACGAAGGACATCACATTACCATTTCTTTTTTTTCCCCTTTTTCTTCTCATTGTATCTTATTGCATGTTGCTCTTAGATCTAAATCATTAAATTCATGAAAAAGTATTTTATTGAACTCAAGGGAATTTTCCAAGACTGTGCAGATTTGCATTGTCTGATTGCAAAAAAAATTATAATAATAAAAAAAAACACACACATATATATATATATATATATATATATATATATATATATATATATAATTTTTTTTTTGACCTGAAAACCTGTTGAGTTCAATATGGCCAACTTGGTATACCACCAGTTTTCTTGTAGTCTCCATAGTCCCATTTTAATCGGTAATGTATAAATCCCCAAATGAATGCTTTCAATTTTCAACAGATTGGATACATGGCTCAGAATGTGATTTTTCGTTCATGTAGACATGTTGTATACATGATTCCTTTGGCACAGTAAACCAAATATTCCCATGCTTTTCGTCACCTCAGCAGAACAAACACATTTAGTCTCACACCTCTACTGCTGTTCTTATCACTCTACCAGCTCTCTGATCCATTCACTGGCTTTCCCCTTTCTATTTGCCTCTCTTCTGGGGGGTTCTAATGGATGGATTTCCCTTATCCAGAGATCTGTTAGATGGCCTGTGGAAAATGGAACTAGAACCTTCCTAATCTAATCTGTTGGTAGTAGTTTATATGTTCCATCCTTACCCTAAACGGTTTCTTTTAATTTTTTTTTTAATGAAAGCGTTTTTCCATTTTATTTGTCATTGTTTCTGCACTTTGTAGTTTGTATCCAGCATTGCTTGTTGTCTTTGGGTTTTGTGAATGGTTCTCGCTCTTCTTACTCTTTGGTTAATAAAAGAACACTGGTGCTGTTTGTAGAATTGGGAGAAACGACAACTCTCTCTACCTTTACTCCAGTAAAAAAAAAAAAAACACCTTGATAGTTATTTCCATCTACACAGGTGGACAAAATTGTTGGCATCCCCCATTTTAATAAAGAAAAACCTTTAATGGTCATAGAAATAATAATTTGACAAAAGTATTAATGAATAAAAATCAATGATATTGAACAAATGAAAGTCAGATATTACTTTTCAACAATGCTTCCACAAAAAGACGTAAAAAAATACACTCATGGAACTGGCCTGGACAATAGTGATGGTACCCCAAGGAAAGATTGAAAATAAAAAGACCAAAGAGAAATGTTAAATTAAGCTGTCAGCTACTCACAGGTGTCAGTCAGTGCGCCTATAAATAGGGATAGAGATTGTCACTGTGCTGTTTCATGATATGGTGTGTACCGCACTCAACATGGACCAAAATAATCAATGGGAAGAGTTGCCTCAGGAGATGAGAAAGAAAATTATAGACGAGAAATATAAAGACTACCTCCTTTAAGCTAATATTATTGTGACTACAGTTGCACATATAAGAGCCATGGATCTGTAGTCAACCCCCCTGGATGTGGCTGCAGGAAGAAAATAGATAATTAGACTGATTATATGAATGGTAACAAAAGAGCCCAGAAAAAACTTCCAAAGAGATAAAAGGTGAACTTCAAGCTCAAGGAACATCAGCATCAATTTATAAGCAAAAGTGGACTTAATGGGAGACGACCAAGGAGGACCCCGTTGTTGAATCATAAAAAAGCCAGCCGAATTACATGTTAACAAGCCAAAAAGCCTCTAGGAGGATTCCTCTGGAAAGACACAAATTTGTCTTTATGAAAAGGTACCTCAGCTCCATGTTCACAGTTATAAAAAAAAAAAAAAAGAAGGCATATCAATAAAAGAACACTGTCCATACTGTGAAACATAGAAGAGGCTCTGTTATGATCTGGGGCTGCCTTGCTTCATCTGGCATAGGGTATCTTTAATCTCTGCAGGGTATAATGAAAACTCAATATTTATCAAGGGATTCTAAGGAGAAATGTGTTGCCCAGTGTCAGAGAGCTTGGTCTCGGTCACAGGTTAATGATTTCCAAAAAGGATAATGACCCAAAATGCATAACTCAAAACCTCAAGAATGGCAAAGAGGAAAACATTGGATTATCCTATCAAGCATCTTTGGAAGGAGCAGAAACATGTTTTCTGGAACATGAGACAACTGGAGCTGTTTGCTCATGGGGAGTGGACCTAAACGGGAGCAGAAACCTCTTTGTTTACTTCAGGAATCGTTTGATTGCAGTGATTCCCTCAAAAGGTTGCGCAGCAAAACATTAAGTGTACCATTTCTTTCAGGCCTCATTCATGAGTTTATTTTTAAAATCATTGTGTTGATGCATGGTTGAAAAGCCACGTCTGGCTTTAACTGGTTCATTTCCAGACAATGTGCATTTATTATTACTTTTGTCATATTAAATCTATTTCAGTGACCATTGTGGGTTTTTCTTTTTTTTAAACAAAGGGTAACAATGACTTTGTTTACGTGTATTTGAATTACTACTTCTGCTGTGAGGACTATAGTGAACTGTGACAAGCTATCGTCTCTTCCGCTGTTTTCATTGGGATAACATCCTTATTTGAAGCCACTCTTCCCCCAAGGTATGGGAATTCTTCCCTTCTCCATTACTTGTCATTTTTATGTCCCTTCATTGCACTTTGAAATGGGGAAAGAAAAAAAAAAATCTACCCTTCATTGTGTCTCTTTCACATTCTCACTGGGAGGAGCTAAGGGTTCCAGAAGAGAAACTAGCAAGTTATCCTAATGAAAAGCTCCCCTGGAGTCCTTATAATTTCCCTCCTCCTCAGAAATTGCTAATGGTTCTTTAGCAAACAGCCCTCTACAACTTCCTTGTTCTCTTCCTCGCTTCCCAATGTCCTCATCATGTCAATCTATTGACAGGATGCCTTTACTCTTTCATGTCCCTGTAATGGGCCTGTACTAGTTGTCCGTGCCAAACTTAATGACACTCTGATGCAGAGCTAGAATCCACTTTTTTTTTTTTTCTTCCTCCGAACATCACACTTGTCTGACACAGTTTATATGCAGCTCCTAAACAGTCGATTGTGTGTGCCAGTGTGCCTGCAATCCCCTCCTATTAGCGCTGTCTACATGTGTTTGGCCCATAATGCTGGCTTCCCCTGTCACATGCCTGTGGAGATATGCACATGCACACAGCTGATTGACAACAGTGTATCTTCAGGGTGAGTGGGTTGGAGTCTATCCCCAGGGAGCTTTGTTAGGAACGTGTTGTGTTGGGTCATTTGGGTTCCGCTGCTGTGTGTGTGTGTTGTCCTAAACACCCACAGTGTGTTAATACTACTCCTCTGGGGAGTTTTACAATGCTGCCTGATGTGATTCACACTGACTGGGGGTGACCTTGAGAAGTGGGACAAACAAAAAAGGGACCCACATGCAAGGAGAGATCACTCCCCACACTAATTATTGTCGTAACGGATGCCACTCTTGGTGACTGTCTATTTATTGATTCTTTTTTGTTTCCTCACAGGTCAACGTGACAGTGGACTACATCAGGGCTGCCACCGGTCCTGGAGAAGGAACGCCCGCTTTCTCAGAGCGCACCTGTGCCACCGTGACAATTGGAGGGATGTAAGTTTTAATTCGATTTACCAAAATGAGTAAAATGCTTTTCTACATGTGGGAGTTTGTTACAAATGCTGTGCCCTGGAAAGGGAACGTCGGATGTCATCAATCATGACATGCTTCAATGGTCCCACAGCATGATGCTGCCATAATGGAGGTTAGGCAAAGAGATCAATCTCTTGTCTTAGTTTTCCGCTGAGTTTTTTAATTAGATTTTGAAAAGAAAACAACAAAATCTGCTTTTCTTTTGACCCTATCATCATCTAAAATAATTAGCAGGACTTTTTGCCTTTCATTTAGATTGATTCATCTGTGGGATGTAAGGAGTGTTTTGGAAACTATCCTGTTATAAGCTTCTACACAACCTCCTCCCTGACCTTTCTGGTGGGGTCATGTGTTACCACTAATGCTTTTGGTGTGCAAGTATTCCCTAACAAACCTCTTTTATATTTATTTTATTTAGAGATATCTGGTTTCTGCATACAAAGACACAATTTTGGTTCTAACTTGAATAAATGTCGATTAGTTTATGGCCTATTAATACTTTTGCAGAGCACATCCAGCATTAGATTATCCAGCATTTTATGTTGACTCTATCAACACGTTTCATTTTACTACCCTAATTTCATCTGATGAAATACAACAGGATCATTTTAAAAGCTTTGAATTTGTAAGCTTGTTAATCAGAACTGAAGCTGCTGCTTTGTTCAGAAAAGGGTCACCTCAGTGCAAGCAATTATATTCTATCTGCAAGCCGGTCTTTGAAGGCATTCGGTTTATCAGTTTGTCATTTTTTTCTCTCTCCAGAAGATCACGGATAAAACGCTTTTCAGAGGTTGAAATTTAATCAAAACCAGCGCAGAGCTTTAATGCCACATTGCTGAATATGAGGCCTCAGAAGTCTGTTTTCCCTCAATAGAACGTTTGAAAACGACGCTTGTCGTGTGTTTTTTTTTGTTTTGTTTTCCCCTCTAATTGTATCATTCAAGTCATAAACCAGCATCAAACACACACACACAGAAACACAGATTTCTCCCTATCATCTAACCAGCTGTCTCAAATGTGACTGGTCTGCACAGAGGTCAGGATTTGCTATTGTAAGCATTCAATTAGACTCCTCCATCAGTTGGACTACAGCATGCTGGGAGCCTGTTGGTTGACAGCTGGCGTTGTCCCCATGAAAGCTACAGTCAGGGGATGATCAGGGGAGAGAGATGGAAACTGGTGTTTGGAGTAGAGCTGATTGTGCCAAAAAATAATATTTGGATTATTTTCATCCAATATTCCAGTTGTTTTCTTTGCACTTTCAACAAGCATGTAGGTGTTTAACTCAAGAGTTTCAGCTTTTTCATGACCTTGAAAGCTTTCTTGTCCAGAGTTTTATTGTTGCAGGATTATACTGTGTGGAAAAACTGAATGAATCTAGCTGCAACTCTCTTCCCTCCTCTGTTGGGGCTGGAGTGAGATATTAAATGTCTTACTCTTTTTAAATGTAGTGTAACCAAAATTGAGGGCCTGTGCAATTTGAAAATGTTCGTTTTTATAATTGCAATTATTTTGCAGATGCATTTAACCCTAGTTTGGAGGTATATAATTTAAATTTGAGCTTATGGTAATCAATTTGTTGTTTATATAAACAAAGTAAGCTTTGTAAAGGTAGCTTAAAGGTATAAGAAATAATTTTAGTTTTCATTTATTGCTTCAGTAAATGAATACAAAATAGAAGAATACTTGGCGGCCCAAATTATTTATAGGCTTCCAGAACAATGAAACTCACCCATTGTTAGCAGCCCTGCCATCCAACATGCGCACAATTTAAGACACATCTGTTCATCGTGCAGCAAGGTGCTCCATGTGACTTTTTTTTTCTCCTGCTAATTTCAAGTACAATAGCGAAGCAAAAACAAACCGGATCAATCAGCTCATTCTCTGATTTGGTGGCTGCAGCATCCAGTGCTGATTGTGAAAGATTTAGTTTAATGAATGATAACAAAACAGCAACCAGAAAGCTCTTAAAGTCGCATATTTGGACGTAAGGACAGACGTGAAAAATGTATAGAATTTAAGTAAATTTGTTAATATTCTAGTGATATTAATTATTTATGGGTATTAATCATAAAATGCTTGAACTATTACATATTTTAAGTGCAAACGCAAACAATATATAATTGAAGGGTTACAGGTAGAGACAAAGAGATACAGGAATTTATACTGTAGCACAAGCTTCACACATTTCATTCTGCAAAAGGGGAATGTTTTAATGTGAACATAAAGTTATGTCTGAAAGGTGTAATGTCTCATTTATCTCCAGAGCAGGACTCTCCCCCTGGCCAAAGCAGGACTCTTACATATAGCATACTACACATGTCATGAACAGCAATTTCTTTGATTTAATATTGGTGTGTTGCCACAGCCTATCAGATATTGCTCACAGTGATCCTCAGTGTACTCAGGCGGCTTGTGTGTATGCCAAGAAAGAGCCATATTGATTGTGATCACATACTTTTTGCTTTTTCTTTTGTACATCGTTACAGAAAGTAAAAAAATATGTAGATTAATCACGCTTATTTCAAGCCTTAATTTCTTCTAAAGTTAATGATTATGGCTTACAGATAAAGAAAACCCAAAATTGAGTGTCTGTAAAGTTAAATACTGAAAAACTTGTCTAACACTCTTATCAGTTAATTAACTCAACACACCTGCGAAGGTTTGCAAGGCCTCTAAAGTGTCTCTGTCTGGTTTGGTTGGCTAAATTAAGTGTTTTTTTAACCCTGGTTCTTAAGGCACTCTGCCCTGCATGTTTTAGATGTTTCTCTTCAACACAACTAATTCCGATGATTGCATTTCAGCAGAGCCTGTTAATCAATCTAAAAATGCTGGGCAGTGTGCCTTACCGATGAAGACTCAAAAACACCATCATGAGGAGGACTGCTTAATTGTCCAGTAGATGGAAGACTACACTTTACTCGAAGAGGGTACGCCATAAAATGGCACTGCGGTCTGTATCTGAGCATATCCACAGAAAGTTGAGTGACAGGAGAAAGTGTGGTAGGAAAAGGCCCCCCACCAACCGGGATAACAAAGACGATAGCCCTGTTTACCTTCTGAAAACTGATGCGTTCCGAGTTCGGACCTCGCTTGGATCAGTTAACCGTGTTGAGCTCAGTTCTTTACGTCCGTTTACGCATTACACTAGCACGGTTCCTCGCCTCCTAGTGACGATCTACGGTACTACTACTCTCTAGTAGGAAAACTTTGTGATTATGTTTTGTTCCATCCAACATTGTCTGGATAACATCTTCTTCCCAAATTGCAATAAGAGCCTTAGTCTCGGCGTCATCCCAGGTTGCAACACGCTCTTTTGAAGCCATTTTAAAGAATTTAGTGTTTAGAAATTTTCAATTATTGTTTACAGTTCTTCTGTTTTTTTGGCTGTTGGCAAACGTCTTACTGATGTACATTACTGCCAACTACTGGAAGCTGACAGTAAATAGGAAAAGATGCGGTCTGCTCATGTGCTCTTTATCAGAGAACCGAGCCACAACTGAACCGTGTCGAGCCCTGCTGTTAAACTAGTACTACTTTAGTGTGGTTTGGTTTAGTCTGGCACGGTCCAGTTCGGTTTGCATGCCACTTACACTCAACAGTTATCTCGGTTATCGTGCTTCGACCGATCTTAGCAAGATTTCAAAAGGGTAGTGTAAATGGGGCTTATAAATCATTAAATGTAGAATTCGGGGGAGCTTAACAAACAAGAAGTTCAGGCTGGAGTCGAGGCTTCAAAAGCAAAAACTTACTGATGAATCAAACACAGCGAAATAATGTGTCATTCTTTGTGTCAAGCCGCTCTCAAACTAGACTGTCAGAAACATTTTACCTGAGGATTATTTTAAAGGCACTAATCCTTGTCACCTGAAATCATGTGTGAAGTTTCCACAATCAGTGATCTGGCGGTGCTGACCCACTGTGCTTTCTAAAGTCCACTCATTGCAGCAATCTAACAAGATTGTTGAACACCTTCTCCTCCCTCTGACAAGCTATATGGAAATAGTGATGTCCCTCTCCAGTAGGGCATGCCCCCAATCTATTCTATCAATGATATCACAATGATCATTTAAGCAATAATATTGTCAAGTTTAATTTAAACAATGGTTTGAAACATTTTACTTCATTCTGAAATGAATCAAGATGACGTTCTGAAATGAGTTACAAAAAGCATTTAACTTAGATGCTTTATTTAACTTCATATACCCCAGAACTGTGGAATATGTCTTTTATTATAATGTGAAAAACAATCTCATATTGGCCCAAATCCATGTCTAAAGTACAGTTATTGTAGTAAATTACCACTGTGACTGTATTAGCTATCACAGTTTACTCAGTCCCATATTAAATGAAAACCTGTAATTAAATATAATTGATCCTCAAATTACACAAAATGTAGTAATTGGTGACAGCAAGTTTTGAAATTGCAGAGGTCAGACATTTTTATAGCTTTCTGGTTTTCTGAAGTGGTAAAACAGTTTATCTAGCAATATTTTTTTGACTTTAAAATGTTAATATCCTAACTGCCTGCCTTTTTCTGTAAACCTTATTCCTCATGTGTTTGGGAACATGCAGTCCGAACATTTGCTTACCACTTGTTGAAAAGGACACCGCCTGCTGATTCTATTTGTTATGTCTTATGAAATGGAGCGTTAAAGTGTACTGTCCCCCTTTTTTTTTTTCTTCCAGTAACATAGCTGAAGCTCTTGTCAGTAAAGGCCTCGCCACAGTCATCAGATACAGACAGGATGATGACCAGCGCTCCTCCCACTATGATGAGCTGCTCGCTGCAGAGGCACGGTGAGAAACTCCTCTCTCTCACATCAGCTCACACTTTGTGTTCCTTTATAATTGTTTGTGTCTGGAAATGTGGATTAAATGCAGCATCACCCACCGACATGAACCACCTATCACATATGTTTTAAATTAACTTGATAAATTAGCCTTTAGGAAGTGATTGACAATGTAATGACCCTTAACGTTTTCTCTTATTTTGCTAAGGTCACCACCTTGTTAGCTATTTAAATTTATTTCAAGTGTCAAAATAATTACTGTCCATAAGGGTGGTGAATCACTTCCTGAGGAAATATGTTACTACTCTTGCCCATATTAACGACCCCTTTATATTATTTTCTTCTCTTCCTTTTAAGGGTTTTCCTTTCTTGTTTCTTTTTGTATGCTTGGGCACACATACACCAACCCAGGCGCCAGACGTTAAATCAGAGTCTCTCTTTACTCAGGCCCTATGAATATAATTATGTGGAGGTGCAGTGGAGAGATTTAGTACAAGCTTTATTACTCTGCCATAGATTAAGATCTGCTTGCTGTAGGTAGAGCAGATGCAGCTGCAACCTTTTTTTTTTAATGGCATTAACTCGTTCTCTTCACTGTCTTTCGTACAGTGTCACCGGCCATCTGCCCTTATTTCTTCTCCTGCCCATTCCTGCCATCTCTGCTCTTTTTGTACATGTCCTTGTTTCTTCTCCTTTGCCGCTTTCCGTTTTGTCCTTCTACGGCCTTGCTCTTCTGGGTCTCCTTTCCCTCATTTCTTTTTGTCACTTTTCCATCTCTCTTTGCTTCCTTTCCCTCTCTCTCTCTCTGTCCCTAGTGGGGTCCTATAAGAGATGATGAGCGGTTTCTGTCTATCGCCTCAGTTATATTTTTAGCTCCCATTGCATAAAGCTAGTGGCCCACAGCCTTCAAGGAACCTCCCCCTGGCTATTAAAATGCACATCTTTACGGTACAAGCTAACATAAATGTAGATGGCTCATCTTAGCTGCTCTTGTCCGTCCAAGTGACCCCTTGCAGAACAGGAACTTTAAGTTGTCTTCATTACATATAATGAACTGGGCTTTTTTCCATCAAAGAAGACCCTAAGCCATCTCAGACGATAGATGATGTCTCTCCATTTCCCTTTTCACCTTTATGGGCCAGGCTCCCATTAGGATTATTTTATCACTCTGGTCTCTTTTTTTCATGTTAACCCCAAGCCTTTATTGGTGGAAAAAATATAGTCCTTTTTTTATTCATTACACGGGTGCTTTTCATTTATTCAATTAATCTCAATTTAAAAGGCAAAACACATATTGATTGAATATTTATAGAGTTTCTAAGCATTTTATTGAGATTTTATCTTCTAGTTCATGAAAACCTACAGATCTCAGCTTCACAATAAAATTAGACTTGTACAAAACCATCCATTTTTAAA